AGTAGGAGTAGGAGGAGCAGTAGCAGTAGCAGTAGCAGTAGCAGTAGCAGTAGCAGTAGCAGTAGCAGTAGTCGTAGTAGTAGTAGTAGTAGTAGTAGTAGTAGTAGTGGTGGCAAGGAGCAGCAGCGCTAACACCAGTAGCTTGAGCAGTAGCAGTGGCAGTGGCGCTCACGGTAGCATTAGCAGTTGCAGCATCTGGGCTTTCCGAGAGGCTCGCCTCATTGCAGGGGCTTGGGACGTGCAGCAGGGTCAGGCGCGCTGGGGTGGAGAAATTCTTTGGAGTTCAGGGCGCAGGGTCTGCAGGGCTTCGGGCTTGAGTTTCCAGATTACCGGCAGATTGTTCAGGGCAAGAAGACCTAGGCGGTCCGGGGTTCAGCCGCTCTCCAACGCGACAGGCAGCGATTCTTTCGTGCCAAGGCCAGGAGAAGCATCAACAATCCCGCCAAGAAGTTCTTCCAACTGGCCCTAGAAGTTTTGGATCGTTCATTGAGCCCTGAAGCCCCTCCTGGCCTCCCTTCTGCTCTAGATCCTCAGTCGCTTGCTCCCCAAAGACGAGACGACGTCTCTGGGCCTTCGGAAGCCAGGCAGCCCTGGAGATGCTGAGGGGCTGGCTCCGGGACCCACGCCACTTGGACTTTTTGTCCCTTGTTGTTCACAGGGTTCACAGCTCTCTTGTCATGGGAAGCCCTGCTCTATTGCACCTTCTTGCAGTCGCAGAGTCTGGTTAGCTTTGCGTTGTGGTTAGAGAGCGTCCGGACTTGATTGACTGTTTCAATGGGCTGTCCGGTGGGGAGCCTTCTTGGAGCTTGAACGCACAGATCTGGAGCGATAAGGGCCACGGCAGCACACAGTCACAGCAGTTAGCAGGGCTTCAGTGGCGTGTGCTGGGATCCAGCAGCGAGGTTCATGGAGTGCCTCAGCCCGAGAAACCTAAAGTCTAACCCAAATTCCTAAGCCCTAATTGCACGACTACTTACCCAGCCGATTCCCATGAGCTCCCCTCCGCGGGAAGCCGCCGCTTTAGGCCCGCCTTTTGTGCTGAAGCAGTTTGCCGCTTTCTTCGCCGTCTGGCAGAAGGAAGCCTTGGAGGAGCCCTGCAACACGGAGCCGACTCCCAAAAAGGGGCGGGGCGGCGGGTGTTGGTTTTTAATTTTTTGTTTTCGGGCGATGTCGGCGTCAGAGTTTCGGATAAATTGGGGGAATTGGGGTTGGTAGGGTCTAGCCCTAGGCCTGAGTCTGGGACCAGGAGTCTACGATCAAGGTCTTCGTGTTTCCGGAGTAGCGACTGTGGGTTTCAGGGCAAAGGCCAACACGCCAAACAGCGCCGCAGCATGAAGCATGAAGCCAGCATGCGGACTTCTTTCGACCCGCAGCCATGAGCCCTAAACTGCAGAGAGAAGCGAAGAGGGCTTTAGCAAGAATTTGTTGTTTCGAAATAAAGATAAAGATGAGGGTGGCCATAGCCGCAAAAAAAGGGATCACATCATCGAGCCCCGCTTTTGATTAGATGCACTGATACCCGAAACCTTTGGAGCTGCCAGGAGCAACTCCGGGTCCCCGTAGATGTGGACGATATCGTCGGCACGCCGCGGTCTTGCAATTTAGAGAAAGAGAAGTGGCCTTTAAAGGCCTACTAAGGGAGAGAATGCAAGTGTCGGAGTTTCTTGAGATCCAGAAAGCCCGGGCCCCAAAATCCTTCGGACGTGTTTCAAAGCAGACCATTGTCCCCTGACCCTAGGCATGTGTCAGAGCTGCTGATCGTGGCTTCGGGCCCTCTTTGGGAGGAGCGGGCCACGTCGCCGGTAGCGGTGGCGGTAGGGGTGGTAGTAGTAGTGGGGGGAGTAGTAGTAACTTAGTAGTAGCTTCAGGTCTGGGCATTCGAGCGTGCATCCTGTCTTTGACAGATTGTCCAGGCTTCTTGGGTTTGTCTGGTCGTGGGATCCTGCAGATATTTGGTGATGAGGTGTGGTGACGGTGATGCTTGCTGGAGCTGCATGAAGGATAAGTTGTCTGCACCAAAACGGACACCTTGAGAGCTTTCGATATGCTTGTCCTCGGGGCGGTTGATCACCATTCCCGCGTCAGGAGCGATGCCTTCGGGACCAGGCCGGGGATTACCGGTAGTTCTGAAAGCACGCCACATCACCGACCCAACCAAGTTCTCACCGTGGAATCTGTGTACCTAAATTCCAGGCCCTGAATCCTAAAGCCAGGGCAGCACCCCAGAATCCCAAAGCTTGACAAGCGCAGTCAGCAACTCTCAGCTGGAAGCGTTTCGGAGCTAGAACCGGTGGGTGTCCTATGGAACTCCGGTGACTTCTGGTAGAATGCACCTGCCCGCGACCTATATTCTCATCCTTTGGAGCCCCAGACAGAAATCAGATGCTGTGAACAGTCCGGCCCTACACCAGAAGCCGGCGCTTTCCGACGTCAGGCCTTGGAGGTGATCCTGGAGCACTGCAAGGTGCTCCAGCCAGAGCCACGCCGGGAGGCGGCATCCCGATTCCCCAAGCCTTGAGAGTTGAATCCCAACTGGCTTTAGTCCAGGGGCTGCTTGGTGGGTCTTGGGTCGGGAGAAGGCGGCTTCAAGCGTTTTCGCAGGATGTTTCTGGATTCCGGTTCCGTTCCTTGGTCCTGGGACTGCAAACGATTTCAATCGCCGGACCCTCCACCGAAGCCCCCCTCCCACAGCCCAAACCCCAAAACCCCAACTCCCAGATCCTCAACATGTTTAATCCTGAAGCATCAACAGGTCCTACAACGTCACATGGCTTCCGCAACAACCTTTCGCGGCTAAATTCGGCAATCGGAAATTTCACAGAAGGGCTGTCGTGCTTGAAAGGCTCTGAAGCATAGCATACTAGAGCTGTGCAGCAATATCCCTCGCAGCCATCGCGACGACAAGTTACTCCGACTACCCAAAGAACGGAATTCGCACCCATGGGGATGTCACCTCGAAGGATGTGTCACACCTCTAGCCATTCGGTTGCTTTTGCAGCTTCCTTTTGCAATCTCCTTTGCGATCAACCTGTCTCTTAAATGTGCTTGAGCTATCACAAATTACAGCTGCACGCAGCCGCACGCTCCACAGCAACCGCCACACGCGGCCGCACTGCAGAAACGCTCCGCGAATCAGCTCGACTTCGCCGAACGTTGATCAGACATGGTTTCAGTGTTCTGGCACCTACGTGTTCAGACTCGGTGGCTGCCGCCTTGATCAAAGCCATTCCTTCGTAAACCCGGAGGTGCGCAAAAACCAGGGAGTACGCATTTGAAGAGGCTTTGAACAATTGCGCTCCTCTTTTTAAGGGACAATAGGAGGGACCCCCAGAAGCCCTATGTAACCCCAAGGGTCCCCTTTTAAAGGGTCTCTCCTTTAGTCCCTCGATCTGTGGAAGGCCTTCGCCTCGGTGCTCCTCCGGCTCGGCCGCAGCGCCGGGACGCAGGCCGTGGCCGAGGCGGCGGTGCCGCGGCCAGAATGGAAGTGTAGGGTTTAGGGGGTTTAGGGTTTAGGGTTTAGGGGTTTAGGGTTTAGGGGTTTAGGGGTTTAGGGGTTTAGGGGTTTAGGGTTTAGGGTATAGGGTATCGGCTCCGCGAGGGTTTCGAAGAGCCGGAGCTCAGGATCGTAGGACGTAGGTGTTTGCGTCGAAGGGTTGGGGTTTGGGGTAGCTTGGAGATGACTTTGATGCAAGAACTCGGGACGCAAGTTTGTGGAAGCTTGTTCTATTCGACAGATATGCTTCTGTGTTGATGTACCCGCAGTCTTAGTTGGAAGCTGGGCTTCTTCATGTACATGTAACTGGCAATGTGGGTACGTCTTGTGCACATGTTTACCGGTTCAAAGGTTGGCAATGAAGCTACGTTCTGCTTGTGATTCCTGACATCTCGATGCCCTTCGTAGCAATCGGATAAACTAGAGTGGGGACTGCAAGGCGGTAGCACAGTAGCGAGAGCCCCAAGAAGCATCCCGTGCAGTTTTGGGAATCCCAGGGGGGCTCTGGGATGTCCATGAGCCTCCGCGGCAAGCTGAGGTCGCTCTCAGCTGCCGCGCGGAGGCCACGCCCCTCGCGGAGGCGCGAAATGCCCAGCCTCCCAAAAAAAAGGCAGCAAAAAGGGTGCTCAAGCGTGCTCCTGAACAGGGCTCTGGAGGAGTTCGATGAGGGCTCCAGGAGTTCCCTTCTGGAGCATGAAGCCTTAAGACCGCAAGCCGAACCCTGAAACCTTTGAAGCCTCTAAAGCCCCAGCCAGCCCCAAACTCCCAGAGCTTCCCCCCCCAAAATCCCCGCCTGTCGAGCTCCTCTGCAGAGGTCCTCAAGAGAGGTTTGGCGGCTTTCTGGGCTCGCTTCCCGGAGGAGGCCCGCCCCCCAAGCGAGGGTGGAAGAAGGGCGCAGGGCACGGGCGTTCGGGGGTTCGGGGGTTCGGGGTTCCGGATTTTTTGTTGTGTGTCTCCGACGTGTTGGGCCTGGTGCTTTAGGATTAAGGGTTCAAGCTTTCTCGGATTTTTGGGTCCAGGGTTTCGAGCACTGCCAATTTACTGGAGGCGTTCCCATTGTCCCTGTGACACTATGATCCGTAATGACGCGATGTTACGTCCGGTGTTGCCTCTAGTCATGCAGGTTCCTGCTCTTTCTAGAATTGCTCCGGCGCAGCGGTTGCGTCAGGGTTGAACCCTGACGCCCCGACAGCGCACAAAGCACCTAAGAACATACCGTAATGTACTCATCATTCTGCCATGCACTTGTCCTAAAAGAAGCCCGGAACCCGACCGGGCCCCTTTTCTACACAGACAGAGCTTGTGAGGTCTTCTCGGCCGTTGCCTTCTTGGTGCGCACGGCCCTGCGCATCGACGATGCGGAGGTTGCATGAATTCTGGGGCGTTTCGGAAGACAAACAGAGGAATGAGCAACTGTCGGATCCATTGTCAGATTGTTCAGCGTGGCGTGTGCAAGGCTGCACCCATGCACAAGACAAGCGGGAATGCTTCAGTTGCTGGAACACTGGAACCTATAGAGATAGATCCCCTAAGCTTTGCTAGTATAAGACTCACAGAGTGTAAGACTCGCAGTTGAGATACCCCAAAGCCTGGTTCGAATGCTGAAGTTTTCTACAACACAACTTGGCACTTGAGGATCATAGGAAGAAGTCGGTGCTATGTAGCAGAAGAACGCCGGAAGAGTCAAGGCTTTGGGATTCAGTGTTGGGATGGGCCCCGTGTTGGAGGCTTCCGGATGTTTCGACGTAGGGTTTTTTCTTGTTTGGGTGCTGTCACACCTTCTTTTTGCTTCTTTGCTTGCGGCAGCTTCGTGCTTCTGGATGCGAGGCCTTCGTGGATTCAGCACCAGGCCTCCGGGAGGAAGCTGACGTCGAGGCCCGGATGTTCAGATGTCTTTTGCGCTGTCCTGGGGCCTCCGAGCTTTCGTGTCGATTGCCTGGAATGCTGAAACTGCACCCTAAACGCCTTTAAACGCTAAGCCTCATACCCCAAACTCCCAAGCCCGCGACACTACAGTCGTAGTGGAGCCGAGGCCCCAGACCCTAAGCCGGAGTTGGTTTTCATATCAAACTACATCAGAGGTTCAGCATTCGAAAGACCCCAACACCCCGGACTTGGAGGCTTCCCAAAAGGGACCTGCAGAAGCTAGGGGTCTATACAAAATATAAAGATGTGAAGCTCCTGCAGGTGGGGGTCTCTTTTTGGATACCCCCCCCCCCCCCCCCCCCCNNCCCCCCCCCCCAAAAAAAAAAGGCACGTCCTGAAACATGAGTTTTTAAATCCTCGACAGGACCTGGGTTTCGTCGTCCTCTGCCTCCTCGTCTTCTGGCTCGTGGCCAGAGACTCCTCGACCCAGGATGACACAGTGGCATCCTCAAGCAGGGTTGTCTTCTTCGAGGCTTTTCAGGAAGATTGGACAGATCCGCTAAGCTCCCTTCTTGGCAGGAGTTTGCTCTATAGCATATTAGGATATTAGGGTATAGGCTTTGGGGGTGAGCTCGGTTCTCAAGCCACAGACATGAGCTTAGAAAGCCTGCAAGCGAAGGCTCCAGGTGAGGGGCACAGCCCTTTAGGCCCCCCGTTTAGAGCCACCAGGAAGAAATTTGAACAACAAAGCCCTAAACCAACGGAGCTTCCCCCCCTCGGCGTCCCACCCGTCATGCGATCGCCCGAGATTGATGCGGCCAGCACGGGCCTCACGCAGCTCACCGGGTTGCCACTGGAGGAGACTTGGCCCAGATCTTCTTCTTCTTCTTCTTGAGGCTTCTTGCTGTCACTTGTAGCGTTCTGTGGTTTTATTCTTATTGTGGCAACTCGTATGTTCATTGTTGTCAAAATCTCCCGTATCAGCATGCTTCCTTCGTTCTGCATCATCTTTACCATTGTATTTATGCTGCTTTCGTTTCGCGTCATTTCTGTTGCAACGTTCTGCACTATCACTCACATTCTGCTTTCCTGTCGTTTGAAGTTGCACACAGCTTGGAATCCCCAGTACTTCATCCATACATATCTGAAGCCGACAGTAGAGCCGGAGCTTTAAGAGTCCGTAGCTTGCACATAATCGGCAAATCCCATACAAAATGCAATAAGAATTTTGAAATCCCATTAATTTTGTATCCTAAACCCCTAAAGCCCTGAACCAACAAGAGTATTGATAAAACGTCCCAAAAATCCGGAATGTCGTACAAATGGAGGCAAATCCCATCCAACATCCAATAAAAATCCAAAATTCTAATCACCGTATACCCAACAACATAAAATCACCAATCCCCTAGTAACTGTATGGACTTGTAGAGCCCTTACACTACTAAAGTATCCCTAAAGTCAGGAACGTCTTGCACATAATATGGGCAAATTCCATACAAAATGCATCAGATCTTACATCTCGTAGACCCGTAAACATAAAATCAATACTCCCTGACTAACCTGATGGACTTTTGCATAACCCATTTATCATCATCCAAAACGTAGTTTTTGTCATAGCTTCTTATCTATTCGTGCGTTCTTGTTCGCCACTGCCCGTTATAATGTCAACATTATCTCCAACCTCAGCATCAGGATAAAGGCTGGTTTCTTCGCTTCTAGCGATATTAGTTTAGTGTAGCTTCATTTTCATTTTTGGGAATTCGGCTTGGGGACGGTGTGAACTCAGTAGTTGAGTGAATGTTTCGATTATTGTATGTCAACAGTTGTATACATATATGTCCTTGGCACGTGAGCTGTAAAGCTAGAAATTAGAACCAGTACATCCTGCATGTCTATATATATATACACATACACATATGTATGTATGTATGTATTTATTTATTTACTAAGTTTTTCGAGTTATACATATATATATCCAATATACATATAATATATCTATATATATATATATATAAATATAAAAGCCATCTGCGCTATCCGTTCGTTGTGTGTTGATTTTTCCTTTCTCTTCATCTGCTTCTACCGTTTATAGAACTCGTCTTTAAAGCTGCGTATTTCTGCGTATTGCTCTCATACAACAAAAAACATGCTTGTCCTTTGTTTCTGTGATACCCTCTATTACTTCCTTCTAGATAGATACAGTATTATTCTGGAACCTTTCGTCCGAAAAGCTTTAAACATAATGGGGAAAAAATATTTTGAACCCTAAACCCTGAACCCTAAACCCTTTTTTGTGGAACCTTACGCCCGAAAAGCTTTAAGCTCTGGAGGACTCCAGTGGATTGCTTGGGCTCTTGGCAGGCGGCCCGCGCTCGGTTCTGTAATACCGAGCTTCGTGAGGGTTATACAGGGTGGAATACCGGAGATGTATCTATGGATATGTGTATATATATATGTGTGTATGCAGATATATATATATATATCTGCGGTTTTCCCCCCAGCATTTCAAGCGAACGCGCCAGGACGGCAACACGGTACTCTTCCAATCAAAAACCAACCGCCAAGCAACTCGTTTAGGTTCGACGTGAGCACGCGCTTAACGGCAACACGGTACTCTTTCTTTCCTAGGGAAAACCAAAAAAGCAAAAAAACAAATTTTTCGGGAAACTTTACGGCCAGACTCCAAAAGATGGTTTTTGGGTTTTTTCCCCAGGAAAATCGGTTTTTTCGGCCCAAAGCCATTTTTGTATGGTTTTTGCACCGAAAACCAATGTTTCCGAGGCAAACCCCAAAAACAATCTTTTCGGAGTCTGGCCGTATAGTTTCCAAACGTTTTTGTTTTATGTTTTACGCAGAAAAACCTGCATCATACACCAGCAGCTTAAACGTAGGAGGATTGGTGGCGCTATCGCGGCACCTCGCAGTAGTCCTTGGGGGGTTAGCAAGTACATATGTATATACGGATGTATGTATATATTTTCATGCACATACGTATATACATATATACATATATACATATATACTTATCTACATATCTACATATATGCATATACACATATATACATATACACATACATATACATATGCATATACATACACCAAAAGCTTGGCTCCAACTGCGCACGCCGGTTTCAGGATGCCCCAGGAGCCCAAAACCTGAAGCCGAAGTCCGAGCCCCGAGCCCTAAAGCACCCAAAACCTGAGTTCCTGAACCCTGAGCCCCCCCGACGTTGCGAAGGCACGACACCCTAAGCCTAAGCCCTGAATCCCGGACCCGCGCGTCGCCCCCCCGGACCTCGCCTTCTGGCTCATCTCTGGGCTTCGGCAGAGCTCCGAAGGAGGCGGCCGGGGACCGAGAAGCGAGGCACTCACGCAGCAAGTTGTTGTTAAAAGGGTTGAGGGTCGAGGGTTCAGAGTGTCGAGTTCTAGGACATGGGTTTCTGCTTCTGATGGCTACTACTTTTCCTTCTTATCCTCGAAATTGCTTTTCTTGGTGTTATGCTCTGTGTTGCAATTTCTTTCGTTGCCATGATGGCTCCTAGTCCTATCCTCATCGCTGACTGCGACCACTGTTGCGCTTGTTGGGATTACCGGTGTCGTGGATACGACGCCTGACACCGAGCCAGCCATGTTGATGTGCTTGCTCCGTATAAACATGTCTACGGTGCTGTTTTGTTGTTTAGTCTTGTCGAGCTTCTTGTTTTTGGCTTATTCGGATTGTTTATCTTATTCACTTGATTGTTGGTCCTTGAAAGCTTCAGCCCTTAACTGTCCGGGTTATGGTCAAGGCCGAGGGTCTACGGCCTTCGTTTCGGGTGAGTCGTCAACCCTTGCGTGGATTGCTGTTGTCTGTCGGAGCTACTGTGTGCGTTCGCCTGTGGCTGGAGCCTTCGATTTGCCAGTGTAGAGCTGAGTCTCCTCTTCCTCTTCCTCTTCTCCTTGCGACTGTTGCTGTGGCTGCTGCTGCTGCTGCTGTTGCTGCTCGCGGCCACAACTACCGCCACCAGTCACTACCGCTACCGGCACAAAATCTACTGGGGAACAGCGACACCTGCTTCCCGAAGCCATGAACCCCAAGATCAAAAGGCCATGGCCGAGATGGAGGAGAAGGGCGAGGAGGAGGAGAAGGCGAAGGACTTCCAGCCAGGGTTGCTCCCTTCGCTTTCGGGCTTGGGTGCCAAGGGATTGAAGGCTTTTTACCTAAAGCCCCTAAATCCCTAAAGCCCCCAATCTGTGTCAGTCAGTAATGCTTCTAGCCTCCCTGCTCGCTTGAAGGACGAGAAGCCGAAGGATGAAGAGCTTCCGGAGGAGGAGGAGCCGGATGTCAGTGCCTTCAGGCCGGCCCTTTCAGCACCCGATCTCGTCATCTTCATTTTGCTTGTCCCTGCGCGAAAAATGCTCGTAAAAAACCGTTATGCCATTTATGCACCTTCCCGTATTTTTTTCACGCCCCATATGCATCATCACATGTGCCTTATTCTCCTTGTTGCGCTCTCCTTGTCCCGCTCCTTGGCTCAGGCCCGGGGACAGCGCCGGGGCCTCGCACGCTCGGGAGCGGGAGCAGATGGAGTTGCTATTTCAAGGAGAGCCAAGCCCAGAACAGAGATAGCAACATTCGCGACAATGATGATGGTGTTGATGATGATGATGATGATGGTGTTGATCATGATCACGGTGACGCTTGTCATTTACTCTGTTCTGGTCGGGTTGTGCTCTACGATTGGATCGTTATGCTGCTCTCCGAACATGGCGCCATGACATTTTGACAAATGACTTATTGTTTCCTGTATTTCGGTTGATTGTCGCCAGCACCTTTATCAAGGTCATCACCATTCGCCGGCGCATGCAGAAGGCACGCAAGGTGGGGACGCTCGGCTTCTTGCACTCGGCATCCTGCCCCGGATAGAACTGAGAACGCTACGACAGTCGGTCATGGCATCCTTAGGTATGACAGTATCGTGATAATGCTACCAGCCATCACAGGCATGTTCAAGCCAGTCACGATGCTACCCGTGGCTACAGCAACTCATCAATGTCAAACAACATAATCGCGGTAGCTTTAGTTTGTTCATTTTTGGTAAGACCTGTCAAGACCCTAATTCAACCCCTCGATCCTGAATCGTTCGTGACTGTGCAGGAGCAGATGGAGCAGGTGCTCTCCTTGGAGATCTCTGCTTTCAATGTCAGTCGCTGTATGATGATGTACTGGAAGCGACAACCTGCCAGCTCTGTGGAAACAGAACAGGGTTATGGGCGTTTGGGGTTTGAGGTCCATGCATGGCTGGCATCCTTGTGTTCAGGGTCGATGTTGTTGTGTCCCGTATTGCTGTCAGACGTGGGTCAGAACTCAGAACCCTGTAATAACAAGCCCCTGTTGCTGCACAGGGCCCCAGAGCTCGCGGAACTATTCTACCGGCAGTAGAAAGATTTCTAGAGTCTAGAGTGTGTCTGAAGAGTCGATAGCAATGGTAGGAAGAGTAGCTAGCAGCAGTTCATTTAAGACGAAAAGGAGGGAGGTTGAGGCCTGATGATCCTATTCGTGAGCCCCCGAGGCTGCCATGGAGCGGCGGAGTCGCACGCCCTCCCCCATGGGCAGACACAAGCGCCTTCTTTCCAACAGCCTTTGGAAGGGGACTTCTCTGGAGTTGATAGGGTGCTATAAGGAGCTTAGAGGGTCTGAGTCTGACCGCCACTTGTATGTCAGTCTTAGGGAACCTTCTTGTGACAGAGAGACGTCAGTCGAAGTCAAAGCTCGGTTGTTCTGTAGCCTTCTGAATGTTGCTTGATGCTGCACTGCGTGTAGTAGTGTTGTGACAATGTGCTTCCACGATAGCTTTCACTTCATGCACCCTGTGTTGGTGCGGCAAGGTTGCGTTCATTTGCGCCTCGGCTTGCAAAACGCATGTACAATCAATCATATGAGACTCGTTTACAGAAAGTTGCGGTTTTGGCCAACCGGCTGTTTCCGGTGTGAACATCGGACGAGCCGCGCCAGGGTTCTTTCTATGGTGCCGCGAGATTTTTAGGCCCTAGGTGATTCGCAGAATCGGGATGAAGCGCAAGCACGCCTTTCAATTCCTTTTTTCACATCCTTTCCGGCTACAAAGGCCTCGTCCGGGCGCCCAGACCTTGAGGCACGCGGGCGTTGGGGTTCAGGGATTTGGGGGTTGTGCGGTTGGGGTTCAGACTGTGGTGGCTTGCACGGGGCAGTCCAGGTCCGTGTCTAGGCTTGTGAGGATGGAGTGCCGGGTCGACCGCTTCATTGGATGGAAGGTTTCGCCGCGCGGGCGCGGCAAGACAAACCGATCCCTGACCCAAAGCCCTGACAGCCTAAAATCATAGGAGCCGTGCACTATCTTAAACCCGATCGCGGAAATTTCCAGACCCGAAGTGCCGAAGTGCGTAAGCCTTAGCCTTGTTTTGGCGTCAGCCACTTCAGAGGCGCAACGATCCCGAGCCGCCAAAATCGAAGGCTCCTGAAGCCCAAAGCTTCACAAAGCAAAAAGCTCATACTCGGACCCTCCAAGTACCTTCAAATAGGGGCATTATGGTCCCAAATCAAGGGTATTTCGGGTCTTTAGAGGGTCGATGGAGGGTCTAGGTATGAGCCTCCCCGAAGAAGTTCACAAAGCCCTCAAAGCGTTGAAACTCTTCCCTTATCAAAAGTCCAGAGATGCAGGACGCTGCTATTGAGGCCTTCGAGGCATGGCCATGGTTTGCCTGTGCAGTCTTTCTGGTTCAGGCTTGGCGGGTTCAGAAAACCAGATAGGGTTTTTGGTTTAGGATTTGCCGCTGGACTTTCTTTGGGAGTGCTTGAGATGCTTGTTGTGCGCTCGCGGGGCATGGCAGGCAGCGGCTGGCCGCCGCGTCGAAGGCGGCGGCTTCTCTTGTTGCTTGTCTACTTGGGGTGCCTGTAAACGCAGTCCTGCCTGCAGCGGCAGCCTGGAATCGGATCTGCACCAAGAAAAAACAGCGACAACACAGTCGACCGTGCTCCGGCAGCTCTCATCGCACTTTTCTGCCTGGCAGTTGCCGACAGCAAGCAGCGGCCACGAAAGGCAACCGCCTCGGAGAACTTGAGGCTTGGGATTCTTCTGACAATTATCAGCGTTGAGTTCGGTATTGTTCCTTCCCTCTTGGTTTTTTCTTGCTTATGATGCTCTTCGACCGGTATTGGTAGACATGGTGGTCTTGTGTTCGTCCTGTTTCTTCCGATGATGGTGGTGGTCGTGGTGGCTATGGTGATGGTGGTGACAATGACGATGATGATGATAGTGCTGCTGCTGATGATGATGATGATGATGAGGAAGATGGTGGTGCTGGTGCTGATGATCAACAGGATGCTGCTGCTGCTGCTGCTGATGACAATGGGTGATTATAATAATGACGATGATGGTGATGATGATGATGATGATCACGGTGATGGTGATGATGCGGCTTAATGCCGCTGTTGCTCTTAGTAGAATAGCTGCATATACTCTGTGCGTCTTCCATATTTTGTCGGATTGTCGTTGTCGGTGATTCTGCAGTTCCTTGCACTGCAGAGCTTGCACTGGGTCCATGCATCATCAGCATTCTAGCCGTCAATCCCACTCGTGCTTCTCTACCGGGAGTCACGGGTGTCTTTGAGTATCGACTACGGACTACTGCTCCCAATCCTGCCTGTGAGTTCGCCTTCTCCAGTTGTAGTAACATTTCCAGGATGGGTTGTCTCCTCATGTCTGTGGTGTGGGCTCCATTAGGCAGCACCAACCATCTTCAAGGTTTTCTTCACTTGATGGACACGTACCAGTGGCAAGGCTGGGTTTGAAGCTAAGGTCTGAGAGGCTGAGAGGGGCCGCGCTGTTTTAACAAAGCGCGCGGTCTTCTCGAGGTTGAGGGGGCTGAGATCGCAGCAGGGTCACTCGATGTTGCGACCGGTGCTTTGCTTCGAGGTCGAGCGGTTTCACCAGGATCTCATACGGAAGGAGGCTGGCGCCCGGGTTTTTCCCGGTTCTTGCGTCTGAAGCCGAAATCCTATAAGACTCTTGAGCCAACAGCAAGAATGGAGAAGCTCTGTGTAGTGTGGTTGCCGTCTTTTGCATCAGGTGTGGCGTCAGAAGTTCGACTACATCTTCAAGCAGATGCAGGCGTGTTAAGTACAGAGGGTAATAGTCACAAGCATGATCACAGCTGCAGTCGTCATGACAATAGCTGTTGCATGGTGGAGGAGGTGATCTGGTGGTCATGGTCGCCGTCATCGTCGGTTGCAGTCGTGTCGGTGGTAGTAACTGGAACTGGTAGTGGTAGTGGGCGTGGTTTTGGTTTCTGGTAGAGGTAGTGGTAATAATTTAGTAATGATGGTGATAGCAGTAGTAGTAGCAGTAGTAGCAGTAGTAGTAGAAGAAGAAGAAGTCCTCTCGTAGTAGGAGCAGCTGTAGGAGCAGGAACACTAGGAGGAGGAGGAGGAGGAGGAGAGGCAGTTGCTTTTATGGCGATTACACGACGTTGTCCACCTTCATTTGCACCTGCAGGCAGGGGTTGAGATCGAGCTGCAGAAGGACAGGAAGAGCAGAAGGCGACGCAGGGGGTGACGCACTTCCTCAAGAGCCCTAGGGTTGCGAGTGTTCTGTGTTCCCCACTCGCCAGCGTTGAGCCTCCTCAACGCCTTCAAAACATAGACTCCTGCAACTTCCTGCGCCTCTTCGTCGTCCTAAATCTCAACCCAGCAACTCTTCAGACTCCTCCTTGCGCGGATAGAGCCAGAAGTCTCGTCGTGACCACAGGCCTTCGATTCTTCAGCAGAAAGGCCCGAGACGGGTCGTTGTGTTTCGACATCAGGGTACTTGTTCTGGAGGAAAGGTTCGGGTTTAGGTGAGGTACCTAGGGTCACGACAAGGAAGGCTGTTGTTGCTCAGGTGGTGTTGATTGTGTTACTGTTGTTGCTGCTGTGGGTTGGAGTGGTGGGTTGAGTAGATGCTGCTACTGCTGCACCTCGACAAATGGGCCATGTGCAAAATAGGAATTCACGAAGCTCACTGGTGACTGGTGGGCCGCAGAAGTACGGGCAATATGCAAGTGTATTCGCGATGATGGTTTTGCAAATGCCTACCATTCTACGCAGTGGAAACCCTAACCTCCCCACAATACACCCCAGACCCTAAGCCCTAAAAGGCCCTAAACCCCGGTTACCCTGCTAAGGCAAAGAGGAGGCGGAAGATGCCGAAGCTCGGCGCCGCTTGGCTTATGCCATGTGATAACGGAATCGGAACTAGTAGGATCGTGTCGTATTGGTAGCCCGTAGGGTGGTAACTGTAGCATAAAAGGCTCCAAACTACTGTAATGTTGGAGGTCCTTGTAGTAGGCCCTCGTTACCTTGGTCATGATCTTCAAAGCTCTTCTCCGACAGCCATTAAGGCCAGAACGCTTCAACCCGAAACCGTGAACCTAGAAGCTCCAGACTCTAAATACGTGGCAGCAACAATCATCTTCATCATGATCGTGATCACCGTCATCTTGACCTGAGCGACGCTCGCAGACCTCTGCTTGCACAGTTATTGTTGCGTGCTGAGGTCAGAAAGCCGTCGCAGGCAGCGGGGCTGTCGCTCAAGCTCACTTACGTGCTTTGGGTATCATCAGTACATGTATTTCTGTTGCTACGCCTTGGGAGAACTGGTATGTTGCTTCTTTGTGCAAATCTTACAAGGAGGAGGAAGAGGAGGAGGAGGAGGAGGAGGAGGACACAGCAACGGCGGCGATGATGACTCGGCGACGACGGCAAAGACAGCAATGATGGAAATGATAGTGATAGCGTCCATCGCAAGAACGTTATGAATCGCCGGCGAGGCATTGGGGGTCGCGACGGAACCCTGATCTGAGAGGCCTCTCGCAGTCCGAGATGGAGCAAGAGCTGCAGCAGCTCCGCCGAGCTTCGGCGCCTGGTGCGCCGGCCCAGAGAACCACATTTTTGCAACGACATACACATACGAAGAGCAGGAACTCTGTGTCTAAGTAAGTAATTAATTATGATTGAGTGAGTGAGTGAGTGGGTGAGTGACTGAGTGAGTGAGTGCATGGGTGGGTGAGTGAGTGATTTCGTGTGTGCCCGCGTGTGTGGGTTCATGCACATATATACATACATGTAAATATACATGTGTATATATGTATATATGTCTATATATATATATATGTACACATCTCTTGGGGTTCTCCGTTCTCTCTCGCTCTGTCTCCCTGTCCCTTCTTCCTTCTCCGTCTTCTTGTCCCTTCTAGCAGTCTGAGCAAAGACTCAGCTGCCTTCGTGGCAGCTCGTCAGCTTCGGGGAGATCGCGCGGGCCTCTCCCAGGCTCCCCTCTGGCCATCGCGCGAGTGGCGGGGAAGTTGATGCCGCTTGGCCTTTCGGAGCTCGAAGAAGGCCTGGAACGTTGCGCCGGTGCTAGCGCGTGCTGTTACAAATTGCGCTTTTTTGGGAACAGCGCAATGTCGGAGTCCACAAAGCCCGTACTAGTAGAACGTACAAACTAGATGCGTGTGGTCCTGAAGCCAAACAAAAATTCCGAAACACCCTAAAAGCACTGGGTGACCCGAGACACTTAGGTCTCTGAAGACCGAGCCAGGCCTCTGCGCAGACGGCTTCGGGTGTCGGGTTCTACTCCGAAAAGTTTTAGGGTTCTTAGAAAAGGGTTCTTCGTGGATGGCGCCCTCCCCCAAAGTCAGACCACGGCCTTGGTTTGTGTTGTACCCCGGTTTTCTCGGAGAAACTGGAAAGGGGTCTCCGTTGAGTTACTAGTGCACAAAGAGCAGAGTCGGGCCCGGCGAGATTGCGGAGACGCCTAGCGACGCCGCGGGCTTCTAATCGTCGTGCTGCGGTTGATGATAGAAATCCTGCATGACCTTAAGGACCCTAAACTATGGGAATTATGGTATATAGCTTATTACGGGTAATGCAGGATTTATATCATCAACCATAGCGAGAAGTTGCCCGGCTGCGGCCAAGTCATTTGGCACAGCCTCGGGCAGGAATGAGATCATGCACGCGTAGCCTCGGCTACCAGCAGGCTACACCCAAAGCTCTGAGCTACAAAATCATGAGTTCTGAATCCTGGACTCTGCCTACCTCCCAACCGGAAGCCCGAAAGCCCGAAGCCTCCAAATCCCACATAGCTCCAAGCCCGAAAGAAACGACAAATGGCCTAAGCCCTTAATCCTGAACCCTGGGCCTCAACACGCCACCAAAACCTGCGCTCCGGAGATCAATCCGAGCCTGCGCTGGCTTCATCGGATGAGGAGGAGGCGGATGTAGCATTTTGCCTGTCTGAAGGTTAAAGTTTTGGGATTAGGGTTCACTACGTTCTGCTACACCATCACTGCATCGCAGAGTCATTTCTCCAATGGCGCCTGCCATTGCTAGTAACGTGCCTAACTATGGTCGTCACAGTCCCGGTCTTCCTGCCATCGCGACTATACCATTTATCACTACAATGACATCGAATGCTCTGAGTTCTACTCTTGGCACGGCTCTTGCGGTTCTTGTAATTATGATGGTTCTTCTGCTTTCAGTTGAGCTGCTCTGAGGCTCGGAGTGCTACGCCTGAAGCCTCAAGGCTCAGCGCTCACACCGGAGACCCGAAGCCTCTAAGCCCTACTGCACACCCAAAGCAGGGAAGCCCAAACTCGCAATAGAGAGCCCAGGATGCTGCCTGATCCGAAGGAGCCTCCCTGACCCCCGGCAAACCTAGTTCCTGACAAGAAAACCCCAAACCCAACCCGAAACCCAAAAGAGCCGCAGAGCCTAAACCGTACGCTGAGCCCAATGGCCCAATACCTCTCGTCCCCATCTCCAGGACTGGCCGCCTTTGCCTGCTCCTTGCAGCGATCTGCCGCAGCTCGGTCCTGCTCTACCGCTCAACTAAGCAATACAGGAGATCCTTCAAACTTGGTCTTTTATGCTGAAGTGAGGGTCTTGGTCGGGTTGCTCGAGGGACACCGTGGCCGCCCGGCACAACTGAAGGTAACTTATGACCCCCCGGGACGACCCCGTTGACGCCTGGACCCTCAAGCTACATGGAGATGGCAGGTTGATATTGCAATCCCTTTTAGATCCTCGAACATTAACCCAAAGATGCAATATGTTAATGCGCCTTGGTCTCTGTGTTCGCCAGCTTTCGGTTGTCGTCAGGTTGATCGCACCTGCACCGAAGCTGCCGCCGGCAGGGTGGCGCAGGAGTCCTCGTGATGGTAGAGAAGGCTTCGGAAAGAGCTGCGACGAGATAGCCACTGAACCCTAAACCCTATGTTACTAAACATCATCAGCATGCCCGTCTTCTTCTGCGAAGTTCCACCTCCTACCTGCTCTCAGCACGCTTGAAATCCCAAACGGGGTTGCAGGCTTGTGCTGGTATCACTTGAGCCCTGAGCCTTGGACGTTAGTCTACACTTCTTCGGGCGAAGGACTGGCCTGCAGAAACCGCGGGCTGTGGCGGCCGCTTGGACATTTGGATGGGCTTCTGGAACGTGTGCAACAAAGGAGGGTTTCTTAAACCCACTCCGTGGCTTTTTGGGGGTCCTAAGACTGAAGATCCCACGGAACAGGCAACAAGCCCCCATTTACCAAAGTAGGATACACAAGCGCCGGATAAACAGCGACTCTACGCGCTTTCGACGCTCGGGGAGCGAAGTGCGAAAGCCAGCCTTTGTACCCGTGCTTTCTGACATGTCATGACGTACTAAACTAGGTATCGAACTGGTATCACAAGCCTTGCTACAGGAATTGCTGGCTGAAGACATGGAGTGAGTGATGCAAGCGCACAATTTCAGCTTAACTCGTTGCACGCTACCGAATGCGTGACATGCCGACGCATTCTCCAGTATACGAAATCATGACATTTGCAATTCCGGTCAATGACTGCGTTCTTCTGTCATAGTTATCACTATCATCAGAATCGTGCCAGCGATTTGCTTTTCTGCGTGCTTCAGTCCGGTGACGGCGGTGACATCCAAGTTGCTTTTCCTAGAACTTTCGTGCTACAACACCCCAGGGAGGAAGACCCCTGGATTCCCTAACCGCTCCAAATCCTGCTCTTTGCTTGCGAGTCCGAGGCGCCACCCCCTCCCAAGCATTCTCCCCCGCCACCTGCCGCCGAGACCACGAGATCAGGCCATGTCAGCGGTGCTTGCGGGCATGAGATGAATCTAAGTGCTGGTCTTTCCCAAAGACAATGAGCCAACAAGAATCCAGAGGACCGGCGTAGGAATGATAACACCTGGAGCAAAGTACCGAGCATGACTGTCTCAGGTTCAGGGTTCAGGGTTCAAGCCTCATGTTCCAGGGTTTTGTGGTTAGGATTTACTAGATGTCGCATCACTTTCCAGTTATTTACATCACTTGCAGCCGTCGTTGGAAAGGAAGTAGTGCGCATTGCTGGTACGGCACTGGATAAAAGCATGATCATGGCGACTACGTTGGCAAGTACTTCACTATGACCATGCTTTTGATGAGGCACGAGCAGATTTCTGACTACCGCTGTAATCGCTTGGCGTTATGGATTCCGCTAGGCGC